TATATAGATCATTTCAAGTCTAATTCAAGTTAAATAACTGCAAGCTGAGTGAACAGAATGCTGAAAGAATTAAGTTTCAGTGATTTCCGGAAATTGTTTACTTCTTATAAAAGTTGAAATGCTATACACGCAAATATTTCGTATCAAAATTAAGTAAGTTGGCTTGTTTTAACGATTCCATCACATGGATTATGAATTCTCAGGGACTGGTTATTTTTCGGCACAGTGAATTCATCGTCAAGGTTCGCCAGACTGACCAGTTAGAACGAAAACTCACTGAACAACTCAACTGAACATCACCAACCTGAGCAACAAATATTCTCCAAAACGTTTTTACTACTTTTGTGAAAGCTGTCTTAAAGTTGTTCTACAAAGACTGTCCAAGGACTGCTTTTGACCAGTTATGAAAAGTCAAGAAATAATCTTCTTTTCCTCTCGGTTGATATTAACACTAATTAGTGCACCACAATAACAGTTAATGTAAACAATGAGACAGGAAGCCATTGTCACATGTACAAGCCAGCATCCTGTTGTTAGAGGGTTGTATGTGGCTGAAAAAAAGTGTCGATTGATATAGGCTTTTTAGTTCCATAACAAGCTTATAAAGACATATACCAGAAAAATGAAATGCTGTAGCACTGTATTCTTCAGCCTGAGTAATAATACACTCATTTATGACGATGATAACCTCGCCTAGTTAACTAGTTCACTGGTTGCTAGCTGGTCCTAAGCCCAGATAAAGAGGGAAGGTTGGGCATACCGCTGACAACCCTACCCCAGAAAACCAATCCAACCGCTAAAGAAACTTCAAAGCACAAATAAGGCACATAAAAATAAAAACAAACTTATTCCTCGCTGGAATTGGAGAGACGAAATGACGCCAGTTGGTGAAAGCCTTCGGGAAGCCACTTGTTGGCCGATGTGTCTTCTCTCGATTAAAGCGAAAATAAACATGGGGATATGGATTGTCCGCACAATGTTTGAACCTAGCAAGGCTTCCCAAATTGCAAAGAAGATGAGAAGGTATCGGAGTGAAGTGTTAGGAATTTGCGAGAGCAGATGGAATGGAAGTGGACTCTCCAAACTGTCAACTGGAGAATCAATAATTTACTCCGATATTGCCACCCAGACGACAACCACGAGTACACGAGTCTTGGGGTGGCTATAAGGTGGTGCAGACGAGGACGCCAACGCCAACCAGGATCGGAAAAGCAAGACAGGCGTTCATTAGCCTGAAACCAGTGTGGAGATCTTCTGCACTCAGCATATGCAACAACATCTGGATTTTCAACACCATCATCAGTCAAGTCAGTGCTTCTATATGACTCAGGGACTTGGCGCGTTACGAAAGGCATTTCCAACAAACTACAGACATTCATCAACAACAGCCTACGCTAGCTCGTTACTTAAGATCAGATGGATTGCCAGAAAGAACAAGCGACAAGGAACTCTGGTTGGTGATGAACCAACCAAGAACTCATCACTCAACAAATATGTGGTGGAAGGAGGTGGAGATGGATTGGGCATACACTGAGAAGGCCGACTGGGGACATCACGCTTTAGGCCAGAGCCTCGAGTGGAACCTAGATGTGAAACGATGAGTTGGGTGTCCGTGGCGAGTGTGACATGGAGGAGATCATGCGAGGAAGAAATGAGAGCTTGTGGGCTGTCGCGTAGCCAGGTCCAAAAGTTTGCAGAGAAGAGAGTAGAGTAGAGACGTCCTACTGAAGCCCTATGTTCCATTAGGAAACCAAGGGACAAATAATAATAATAATTATGTCGATGATGCAAATCAGCTCACCCTTGGTTCCCTTCTACGGTTACTCTCAGAGGTCTTCACCAGGAAATTAATTAATCCTATCGAGTGATAAGGAACCTTTTCTGTTCACACTCTTTTCTATCTTAATTTAAATCTTTAGAAATGCTACATTATAGGTACAAAAACCAGTTAATGAAAAATGCTGAAAATTGATCATTGTTTTAAGGTAATAAATATCGATATCTAAAGTAAATAATGCATATGCGACGATTGGTTAGTGGATGATACCAACTCGTGTTTTCATTGTAAAGCAAACAGACAAACTTATTCTAATTTGATTGAGCTGACAATTATTAAAAAAATTAGTAACATATGACAATAAACTCAGGTTCATGTCTACGTCACTTCTTCATGAACTCTAGGAAGACCAGAGTCTACTGATGGAAATCTCCCCACTACTCTCTTTTTGCTATTCGTGCCATTTGTCAATGAAATTTAATCGAAGTCTTATAAAAAAAATCACGAAGTTTGTTAAAGCTGCCATCATAGACTGTATTATTGAATTATTGGGGTAGCGATTTACCGCCATTCAAGATAGAATAATATACGTAAGATAGTTGAGGAAAAGCGAAAGAATGCTGCACTGTACCAAAAGATGTCCGAGACCATTGGGGACTAGTTTCTACTCAGTGTGCAATTAGTCGTAACTAATCCCCAGTGACTTGACCAGTGAGTACATGTCCGTGATTCGATTTGATACTCGAAAAAAAGTAATAGCTACTGAGTAATCCAAGATGTGCATTCCATTCTGTTTAAGACTTTTCAGCTGAATATACCTGCTTAAATGTTGTTGGTTCCCATGAGACTCAAATCCAGTACTAATCCTTCCAAACATCAATCATTCCTACTAAGGGAATGAAACTGACTTCTATGCTGCAGCAGTTGCCAATCATTACATATCTCAAAGGCGACCTGCAAGTTCCTTTTAAATGATCAATAAGCAACAGTAACAAATCATCATTATTTATTTGATTTTTAGCTGTCCCGAAAATTATATATATATATATATATATATATATATATATATATATATATATATATATATATATCGGGAGAGAGATTCTGTTGCTGTTACTAAAAAACAGAGGGAATCAGAAATATAGAAACCGTCATCGCAAAGTTGCGGGATTTATCTCAATACAATCGTGGACTGAAACGTAATCCAGTAATTAATACTGTCTCACTGTGTGATTAGTTTAATAAATCAGCTAAGATGGAATTATATTCCGCCACAATACCCCGGTTCTACTCATTTTCCTGCTATTTTTATTACCTTATCTAATACAGGGAAAGTATAGATCATAGTCAGACAAGAATATCTTCTTACGAAACCAACTTTCACATCATCGCTTTGAAATTTACTCCGTGCATAGATCATAATCATCTCCAGGGATTATCAAGCCGTTTTCGCAAAAAAATTCTTTTCAGCTTTTTTTTAACAAATTACGTGAATTCGGACATGTACTTTCCATGCTAAGCCACCGCCTGCCTAGACTACCCACATTAGGAGAAGTTGGAAAAGGGTTCACTGCGGTGAGGCTAAGACGTGGGACGAGTAGATGATGTTTCTAACTGTTGGTCTGAGCCGTGTAGGGAGATGTAGACTTCCTGAGTGGGGTCACTCAGACGGCAGGAATCAGTAGTTAGGGACTGGGTGAAATGGCTGGAAATAGGTGACAATGGGGCAGTTGTATCCACTCTTTGACATCTAAAGTTTGAATATCTGCACTAATCGTTATTTTCAGACGATTTATTCTGTCACACTACTTAATTTACTTTGATGTCAACTTTTTCTATCCACCCGTTCTTTGTGTACTACTGTGAGAACTTGAGCTAATGCATTTGTGTGCGAGGTTCTACGTTTATTTTATCTGTCTGGTGTTTGTTGAGTTTTATCCGATCTGAATTAAATTGTCAAACTTATATCTAGGAATCAGTGGAGAAAGCAAAATTGGATGAGTAATAGATAACTTTGGTTGGAATTCAACAACTTGTACTGATCTATCATTCCATTGGTCAGTAGTCATGCCAACTACCTTCTTTTGTTCCCAGTTAACGTCTTTCACCTATCCCACTAGGCTATAGTTTACATTTATTACATTACGACTAGTGGTATTCAAGCATAAAGTCCAGGTTGGCAAGATGGAGTTAGAATCTGTGATCTGACAATAAAGTTACAGTTTCGGACGCTGCTAAGTCCTAAACTATTTAGAAACATGTTACACATCTATGTACCAGATTGTAAGAAACACTTCATATGTTGAAGTTTATTATATCAGCCAGTTGTTTAAGCTGAATTATGTAGTGTTTGAAACCGAGAATGACTGCTTCACGCCAATCAACCGCACCTCTACATAAACTGCACGTTTTATTTTTCAAAACTCAAGTATTACAGAAGATTTCACTACAGGATATCTCTTTCAGCAAAACTTAACATATATCATAACGCCAAGTATTTGTTTTCAAATTTAGCATAAGTAAACCGCTTCAGCCTAATAAATTATTTAAAAGTTTTCAAACTGACGTTCTATGCCTTTCATTCTATCTAAAAGAAACCGTAATCAGGACTACGAGACCTATTGATTACTGTTTCTAGTTACCATAACACCCTGTGAAAGACTTTTGTTCTTTGGTATGTAACTTTAAAAGGAGGTTTTTGCCTGTAAATCTTGTTATCCCGTAACGTATTGATCATTTCAATCCTTAACATTAATGGTACTACACTGAGCTAAAACATGACTTCATTCGAAGGATAAATGTAAATTTCCAATCTCCCATTTTCTATGCGTTATGTATTTGAAAGTTGGAGATCAGCTTTCAGGTGGAGGAGTGATGATTTCATTATTTAATCCCTTTAATTGATAGTCTCTTCATGGTTCTACAAAGTGTGATAACTTTGACTGATTTACTTCTGTGTTAGTTTGTCGCCTACATCGAAAGATCAGTTACGTGTAGTAACCCACTTCTTATTGATACACGCCTGATCAAAATCACTTGCACTTTAGGCTAATCAATTCTCTTATGTCTTTTTCGAAGATTCCAACTAGGCTATAACATTTCTAACATTCACTTATAACACACAAGTTCCTGTTCATTGTTGGCACCATTTCTAATCAACGAAGACTCCGAAAAAATATCTACTAGGATTTATGAAAATAGTGTATATATATGAGTTTATATTTTTGTCATTATACTATTTTCTTTATTATAGATAAACAATTACTAATTAATATATTCATGTGTAGAATGTAAACCAGTATGCACTCTTCTTCATCAACATATTACTGAAATATCACAGTAGAAAGTGGTTAGCATTATTATGAAATTAAAAATAGATAAGTAATTTTTTCGTCGGAAAAATTGACTCAAAATCTGAATATTTATATTCAATAGTATTCTCTATTGGAAAATAAAGACATTAATCTTTTCATAATACTTCTGTAATAAGTTTTAATTAAGAAAGAGGATTTCAGTAGTATATTCACACTGTTTGTGTATTTATTTCTTTTTAACAGTTGAACAAGATTCTCTGCATCAAGGCACAGTGTGACAAAGGTGTACTGATATTTTGCATACAAAAAGAAGTAGTAGTAATAAACCAGTAAAAACGAGCTTGTAAAATTGCTTAAAACTCTAATCTCTCAGCACATAGAAAAAAATTGGTGTTGAAGTACATTTGTGTGTAGACACAATCAGAAGAATGTGCTAAGGTTTAAGGAGTCAAATCGTGTTATCGGTTAAAAGATAAACCAAACAGTGAGTAGGTTTTTCGGGGTAGTTGGATAATTGAATATTAGTTAGTAGTTAATAAACAACGATAATTCCTAACACAAGGAGTTAGGCTAAAAACAGCAAACAGTTCATATAAGTAGTATATAGATATTTATATAATAATATTATAAATCTATCTGATAATTTGTGTACTCAGTTTCTCTACCTTTGAATAATTTCTTCATTGAGACGGGTAAATAGATCTAAAGTCGAAAATCTGATATGGAAGTATGACTGGGCGACAAGAAAACAATGCAGTCACCGCATCTTTTTGTGATATTATTCTATCCCCTGTCTAGCACCTTTGTAAGCGTAGTCTATCGTATTCATTTTGCCAAAATCTGTACAGATGCCAATACCGATCACTATAGTAACAGCGAGAAGAAAAACGCAACAAAGCAAATTCAAGTAAAGGAAAACACTCACAAAATCACTTTTTTATGTCATTCATGAGAAGTTATAATCCAATAATTAATTAACAGAAGTTAATGGATAAGGCTAAATACGGCTCTTTTAGCTAAAGTATGGGCATACTGGTACTTGTGTCTCTTGTCAAATAGCTTTGAATTGATTGTCTGAATGACTACAGCTTTGCCTCATATACTGTTCCCTGTTATAAGCATGAGGTAACTTATTTGATTGGTTGTCTGACTAACTTAATGAATCCACTTGTGATCCTGGTAGAGCAATACACCAGTTCAATTTATGGTAAGTGCCTATAATTCATGGAGGAAAATAATTATTGAATGCTTTACATTCGTAGATATTAATTCCTTAGTATTCGAACAGAAGTCTAGCGAATAATACGGAAGTTAGGTGAAGTGAAATGTCTACAAGAAAGTTAATGTGGTAAAGTATGACCGACTAAAATAGTTGGAAAATGTGCAACGTATCGCAATTCACGGTGTATTTCAGTGAATCATTTTAGCTGAAGTAGGATCAGTTTGTTGAAAACCAAACGGTGGTCACAGCAATTCTCGGTACTGGTTTATGAAATCACTGACCGTTGGTCTGAGCATTGTCAGGAAATTTAAGCTTTCAGGTTAGCTTGAATACCGGTACTGAAGTCTGAAAATTGTTGTTGCAATGGCTCAGTATCAATTTCAGTAACTAAGCTTTATCACAGATTATCCTCATCTCAGCCGCTATGTCTTGTTAAGTTATTCACCTTAGTATCCGTTTTCGTTTGATAATTTCCTTCAGATCTCAATTACACTATTTTTATTTCTTCGTCTTTCCTTATTACTGTCTGGTGTGATATATCAATGTGGCAACGCGTATTGTTATGAAGTAGTGCCAGATCTCCTTCTGATAGTGACTGATACAGAAATAGAAAATAAAAAATGAAGGGGTAAAGTAATTTAAACATAACATCTATTTACACACTATAGTGCTAAAGTGAATAAATCAGCTTACCTGCGATCTTGTGCATCTCGAATAGTACGTTCACGAAGATCCCAGGTAGATGCTGATTGAAAAGGCTAAAAATATTTTGACAAGAAGAAAGTAGAGCTATACTCATCAGCAAAGTTTATTGCTCTTCTTTTCCAGTACAGCCTCATCAATTTGAACAGTTGTGTACTTGAAATAAATATGCTGACAATCAATTTTAAGGGCTGTTGAACACTATGCTTTATATTATTCAAACAGAACAACAAAGCGTTTTATTACAATTGTATTGAAATTCTTTAAAATATAATCTCATTTTCGCGTTAGTAGTTTCAGCAGTTGAATTTTGAATAAATCTTTCATTAACCTAAAGAGTGAATAACTACTAATGACAACTCATCAGACCAATTGAAATCAGGACAAAAGCAATGAAATATGCTTATTCCAACTATATAAACTCATTCAATGCTTATCATTCTGAAAACTTATCAATATACTATTATAATGACAGGTACATAACAAAATATCAGTTGATCTAGTATATTTTCAAAACTGGGATCATAACAGGGAAACTTCAATATCATTTTTATTTTTGTTGATATACTTGATGCATAAACTTTAGGATATTCGTTCAACCAATGAGAGGCTTCAAACAGTGAGACTCTTTATAAGCGTCTTTGTAAAGGCGGAAAGCATAGCAGATATAATGTAACAAATTATAAGGACGTAACTTACCGAAACTCCTCCTTGACCTGATTGCAGTATACAAATAAAAAAAATAAGAATTTGAGGTCATTGAAATTGTTCATTGTTGAAAGCGTTTAGTCATTTTAATATGAAGGAAAAATAATGCCTGACCAAAAACGTCTCACTAAAAGACTAATTAAAATCGATGTTAATTGATAAATTTGTAGATACCACTTAAACAGCATTTTATAATAGTAGTGAAAACCCATCGATGAATATGAGATTGAACCAATAAACTGTGTGTGAAACGTTACCAATGAATCTCTCTACGGAAATCCAAGACCTATTTCATCGAAAAGAAGCTGAGTGTTGACCATCAATTGTTTCAATTACACAGGTTCAGAATGGCCTAAAAATGCACTTTTGTGTAGTATATGGCATTTTAAAAAGATAAGAAAGAGTGGCGATATCACAAACATCAATGAAAAATCATTAGAAATTTCAGTTTATAATCCTAACTTGCAACTTCTTCAAAGTGCGCTTGTAATACGCTTGAGTAAATAGCAGTCACGGTCAAGACACTCAATGAAATACAGTTTTCTGCAAATGATGGCATCATGTATGCACATATACAGCAAATTAGGATTGCTATTTTAGGCAAGTATTTTGGTATACGATACTATCTGATACGACTGACTGCTTTTTATCTTATTCAAATATTTTGTACTTTCAGTATGTATATGGGTTTTGAAATACCGAAAGACCACAGCAGTTACTCCACAACACGTTGGTTAGTGAGTGCATTTCAGAAGAAGACGCTTTAATGTAGCAAACGTTACACGTTTACTTCTTAAGAATCTTATAAAGACATTGATGTACTAAGCTCAGATGGACTAGCAGCTTTTATAAATCACCTAACACTCTCTTCTATAGAAAAATATTCCTCATCACTTTTCCAGAAACATTTGGCAACAAATAAAAAAGTGGACGTGAGTAATAATCAGATCAACTACTAACTAAAGGGCAGCAAAAGAGTGCTGTAAAAAAAAATATTTATTTCTGTTGAAGATGAAATTTAACTTTTAAAGTTTTTTCAGTAAAATTCGTCGCCTCGATAGCAGTTTCCTGTCAGCATTTGAAAATGAAATTTAAAATGAGATCAATAAATAAGGCTGAAAAGTATCAATTACTAAAAATACTTACCATTATATCTGCGTGCAGATAATGATCTTGGTCGATGGTAAGAGCACCAGGTTCCATCTATGTTATCCCTCTAATTAAAAAACACCACAAAATGCTTTATAAGTTTCGTTTACAAGTTTTGAAGCTAAAACGAGGATAAACGTTTCCTATAAAATAAATATACGAAATAATCGAATTGAAAAGGCAAGCTAAGACTTGGTGGCAGATCACAGGCCTTAATATATGAATGAAGAACAAGTAGTAAAGATGTTACTGACTTGAAAATACCGTAATCGACATGTGATACACGATTAAAATATATTAGAATATATTACGACTCTTACTCTTCTAGGGCTTCTGGAAGTTCTTGATGCGCTTTGTGATTTCGCGATATGATTAGCAGTATCAGATTCTACAAGGCACTTCGATCCAGAAAGTTCAGGATAACGACATCGTAAAGCACTATTCACTGTTGCTCGATGATAGCCTGGAGTTGGTGTCAATGGTTTGTAAAGACATCTACATATAAAAAGTGTAAGACAGTGTTTATGTTCCCAAGGACAGTAATGGAGTTGAACTGATGAAACTAAGAAGAATGAAACGAAAAGGAAAAAAGGCTTACGGCTGTTCAGTTTTATCATCAGCACTTACTTTGAAAAACAACTAACAATTTAATTTAGTAAATGAAAAAAGTAGTTATATTTTTGACTTGATAAATCTGCACTGACTAAAAGTAACCAGTCTAACATAGATAGACACAAATTTTAAATCTCGTATAAACTGCATTCGTTTATGATATAATATTTTGTAATGATCAGTTTTCCTGCTATCCACAAATGAAACGTCATAAGGGGGAAGCCTTAGCACTGTTTTAATGCTGTCATTTTACTTTTCAGAAACCGTATAACACTAGTCAATAGAGCTGTTTGTCATTGGTTGAATTGTTCAATTTTCAACCAGTAGATCGGTGATTCAACTGATCGATTAATAAAGGTTTGGACAACCTGGTAGTGTCATGTACCATAATCCAATATTCATGGTTCGATGGCTATTGAAACAGATAGAATGTAATTACTGTGCTATGTTTATCCATACATTTATAAGGCCAGTGAACAACTGTTCCGATGACTAGTAGATCTCCTACATATAGCAAAGCTATCACATTGAAATTTTTACCAAAAATTATCAACATTCGAAACTCACAGCTACACATAAGTACGACCTCTTCATTTGAATTAGTATATAACACAGATGATATAGTTTGTACCTTACAACTAATACTACTGCGTTTTTGTTCACAGCGTTGATACCAACATGAATAAACTAATTAGTTTTTTGATATTTTCCGTCTCTATGAGTGGGATTTTCAGACAAAAAAGGAATACTTTCTAGCATTTAATCGTTCGAAAGTGTACAATTCTAAACTTTTTGGATGAAATTCTGCACTGGTATGATTTGTACAAACAGTCTTGGCAGTTCTATTTTAGAAGATGAAGATTCGATAATAGACTGGTTGTGTAATATGAGGCAGATTGAGCTGTCAAGACCGTGAACAAAATGTCAGGGCGAATATGTGACCATCGAGAAACAAATATGGTGTTATTTAACAACAAACTTGAACTCTGTTCTGCGTAATACTACTATCGCACGTTAAGACAGTTCAAAAGAATAAGATACTTCAATTGTCATGACTAAGAGTTTTAGAAAGCACAAACTCATTAGTACTTCTCAATGTTTTCTCAGTAGAAAACTTGCGGCGCTTCTGAAAGACTACTTTTTATGAACGGTATATTTCTTATTTTTAAGTCTAAGTCTTCATTCAACAGTAGTGACTCTTGGTATCCCCTACATATACAAAACTTTCCAAAGGTTTAGTGATCAACAGCTCTGAACCAGATCCGTGACTGGAAAATCTAATCCGGCCCCCTAAGTGGTTAGGTCTACTGTCAAAAAAGAATTCGGAAACAGAAATCTTTGATGAGACATAAACTATTTAGCTCGGGCAAAATTCTACAATTCCTGTCAACAGTTACAAGTGTTTTACTGTCTAAGGCGTTTGTCATCAGCTGTGAGACATTTTTATGAAAAGAAGTACGATTTACATCAATGCTTACCCTTCAAGATTGTAACATTTTATTCAATAAACTAAATTGAGATGTGGTTTTGAGATATTTTTGCTGTCAAACATTTACTACTTAGATTCACAGGACTACATGTTTATTGGTATTCTAACGATGTTAAAACCTGGAGATTTATAGTTGGAAAATACATAGAATAATTTAAAATATAACACCAATTGGTAGGTTGTATTGCTAAGCAGATGGTTGATGCTAAATAATGTTGACAGATATTACTACTTAGATCAAAAATTGACAATGGGTTTGGTGTGAGCAACAGTCGGGCTTAAAGACGATGCTGGTAACTCCTCGTAAAACATGACATATCAGTTTGCTATGAGGATGTATGAACACAATTTTTTTTAGTTGTTTAGAAAATGTCTAAAAATATACTATGACACTGGTTAGTAACTAATACCAGTAACGTACAGAGGCAGGTAACCAACTATCCTAGTAATAGATGTGAGATGATTGCATGTCAGCATACCGCATTTTAAATGAATTCCAAACCGGTTTGTTCCATTCATTCATTTCCTTAAAAGGTTTTCGTTTGACCGGAAATCATCAGCGAGTCTAACAACAACCATTGAATTATTTGCGGGGAGAAATTAATTTATAAAACCAGGATGCAAGCCAGCAGAATTCTCCGACACAGCACGATACCTCCACCTGCCAATACTTCCAAATCGAGATTAGATCTTCATGCTACTAAAAATCACAGTAGTTAGTACAAATCATCGGTCTACTGTCTTTATTACTAAAGGCTATTTTACTCCACGGTTATTTTTCTATCCTTTCGAGGAAAAAGATTTGTTTTGAGAAGGATTTTCTGAGTGATACCGTAGATCATATTCACCAAGTTGTCATCATACTTGACAAAATTCAGAATAAAACCGCTGAATTAATAAGTAATATGACGTCTAAGAACTGAATGAATGACCACCATAAAAAGAAGCAGAGAATCCAAAGCCAATATACCGATAGCTTTCAAAACTTACCATAATTAGCAAAAATGCTTTGTCAGATATTTGACATGATTGAGCTAAATTGTGATCTATGCAAGCAGAGCTATACTTATATATAAAAATGTGAGCTGACTTTCAATCTAAAATCCCGAAGCTGGTGTTAGATGAAACAGAAAGTCACCCTTCAACTGAAGTTTGTTAAAAATGACTCATAACAATATAAAGCAGAAATATATTAAATCTTCAAAAGCAATAAGGGTAAATTCACAAAAGTACACAATACTTAAGTATTAAGTGTAGACTCACGGGTCGTAACAGTAGCACTGTGGCAGATAGTACTAAAACAAATAGTTGATTTTTGAAAAGAGACTTACGCAACATGAGCAACAACAGGAGGATGGGTGACATTTGATAGCTGAACTAACAGAGTATTCCAGCCGTGGAGAAACTCCCTAGGGAAAATGAAACGAAGTGGCTAAATTACCGGAAAGTCAACTGTTTTTAGCATCATTAAATCTCTTTTTGGGAGAGTTCTCAAGCACATTTTTGGACATGGAGAGAAAAACTCTTTGGCGTTCGTTGAATAGTGGGCCAGAAGTGTCCCCCCAAGATAAACATCAGCGATTTGCCGTATCTCGATTGTTACCGTGAAATCTAAAGGAAGGTGAAGGGCTACCGTTACATTTTACCTTCAAGTCTATCTACTACATTGCAGGCAGATAGTGCTGTGTAAAACGTCTATTTTAATGGTTTTCAGAAATGGCTCAACCAACTTTATCAAATGAGAATGTTTCTTGAATAAGAAGTGGGAAGATAGCAGTTTGCAACTTTGTTCTTTTAATTATCCCAAAAGCCTCCACAGTCAGGTACAAGTTGTCCCGATTAATTAGCCAAGTCCCTGGAGAATAAACCTTTTTCAAATTAGAACAAAAATACTCCATGAACATACGCAATGTATGGTTATGTCACCCTCAAACCTATACATAGGCATCCTGTCACTATGATTGGAACACCAATTTTTTGACCGTAGCGGGGCTGCAAACCCTTAAATAGTTACCATAGCGTCATTTAAACACAGACATTTAAAGAAAAGGGAAGTTACAGTAACAAATTGCTCACCCAATATTATTAAGTAATTTAAAAAGTAGACGCGTTGACTTTCAGAAGTCTAAAGTATTTTTCACATTTCGATATCTGTTAGAATCACTGTTTTTCTATAAACCCTACATTCAAATCAAAAATTTACTGAGGAAAAGTGTTTATTTTTGAAACTTTTCTGTTCGGTCTTACCGGTGGATGAAAAGCAGTTTCATACGCCTCCATTTTGAGCACTTCATGGGGAGATGAATATTTACAGAAATACTTTCCAATTTCCCAATTTAGATAACAGAGAAGACTACAAAGCTGCCGCGTCGGATTAGTAAGCTTTTTCAGCATTCAGGCAGAGGAGTTAACAACTCTTTAGGGATTTGAATACATTTCATAGTACAAGAGGAAATGGTGAGTGTTGGTTGTGAGGACGGGAGATAATAAAGGCTTGAAGAAGGATGGAACTTTGACAACTTCGCTCGCAAAGAGACCAAGGACTCATCAGACGATGGCAAACTACAGAATTTCAGTGACTTCCCTGATCATATTATGTATCGCACTTTCCTGGCAGTGTGGTTTTCCGTTGTAGTAATACACGGTGTGCGCTTCTTCAGGAAAAAAGACAACGCTAGTATCTAGATCTCAAAATGTAATAGAAAGTCCCATAACAAATCCAACTGCACTCCCTGTCACAGACCAAAAGTCTTCACATGTTTGGGCCTGATGCACTGGTGAATAATACTCTTCCCTCTGTTTGGCTGCCAACCTCAGCAGCAACCGAAAACAAATTAGATAGGCATACCAAGGCATTAGGCTTGCAGGTAACATTGATTTAGATAGCTAACACTACAGATAGGTTGAAAAGCAAACAAAATGGCTGCGATTAGCTGTTTGAAGACTTCTAGATTTTACTTCGCATTTCAGATAGACCTAGAAAAGCTGCTCAAAGGTGAATAACATGAAATATTTCTGAACGAATTGCCTGATGATATAGGTTTTCAATCAGTTTTAACATAAACTACGATGGCAGTCGCAAGCAGTTGGAGAAACGTAGGTTCCTTCACGGAATGTTTCCACCATGTGTGTTATTTGTTTCAGTGCTTAAAATACTGCTACATAGAGAAGATATTTTGGTTCAACAGCTTGTAGGAGGTATTTCTTGGAATTAGTCTCTAAAAGTTTAAAGGTATTTCGAAGCAACAGAGAAACTGATGGGTTCCAGATGCCTCAGATAATATAAATGCCATTCACAGCGGTATCGCGCCAAGTCGCATTACCGAAAATATGCTGGCACTACACGGGTCGGTTCACACAATCCAAAGAATTTCAAAGAATGTATGGGGGTTGGAATGCTATTTTTAATTCTCATTAGCTCATAATCTCCTTCTAGTATTTTAAAGACAGCATCAATGAAACCTAAATTTCCTGAATGGTCAACTAGTTAATCTGTTCATTTAAACCCCGTCTATCCCAACCTGTCTGCTATCATAGTTTTAGGTCACTAGCCCATCGCCAACAGATCTCGAAATAAAACTGGCTTCACTTTAAGAAGAAGAAGTTGAAATTCGGCTTTAGCAAGGTAAAGTTAGTGTTCCCCGGTGGTGCTATAGGACTTTCTCACAAGTTGTGTTTCTTTTGTAAGTGCAGCCTTGAGAAGAGAAGAGATATTGGCCCACCACAAGACTTATAAACTATCTCATTTTATCGCATCAAAGTTTATATCAGCGAACTCTGAGACTTCTAGCAAAGATTCCGATGTTTTCACTTCATTTTTCTCCTCAGCATCAAACTTTCACCTATCTTCACAAATAGCCTTGCAGCGTTGGATGCTTGCGAAAATAATTTAAGCTTTCAAAGTTGGCTTCAGCCAGCTTCTGCAAACAGGTCATAACAATCGCACTTTTGAGTAGCCTGAATGGACTGCCTATGTGAATGATAATGAGTGGTATGATTCCCGTAGTTTCTGGCTCCATAAGATGTCTACTCCTTTAGAGTTAACTACTTTCGAAGATGCCCTTAAGTTCACTTTCCACTAGGTTCGCAAAAGACGATGCAAACCAGTATCTATACTTATCTACCAACCCAGCACTCAAGCGAATTTTAAAAGGACAGTCTATGGGTGAAACCTGCTTCGTACCACTGAATTGTTTATCACGTGATTAGGGAGCAAACATAGTGAAGACTAATTGGGACCATATCCAGCGGACAGTTTGCACATCGTGGATTTTTCGTTACGGAAGTCCAAGGGCTACTGTTATGTGGCAATAATACACAATGCGGCTTACAGTAAATGCAAATCGAACTTCGTCGAAAAAATCATTGCTCTCAGTTAACCACTGGTCGACTGATTTCGAAGAAAGCTTCAGTGGATCATATAAAAACCTGATGGTTTGTCTCTAAAAGTTAGTACCTACTAGAGAAAAGTGACCAGTATAGGGTTGGAAGGGAATGGTAATATTCCCATAAGGTTGACGCATGCAGCTGCAAAGGCATGGATGAGATGCCATATAGTATGGAGTCAGTTGTGTAGTACATGCAGCAAATCACACGGTTTCGGCCCCACTCTGCTGCAGTGGCCAAGTCTTTCTCACATAATTCGTAGAGATTTAGAATCTTATCTCCAACGGCCACGCCTAATATTTACTACCTTTTTTCAGCCCTCCTTCATGTTCAATAGCATCTGTGAATGAAGTAGGGAGCAGCAGAACCACGACCGTATTTGTTTAAGGTGAATTAGTGCTATCTCACAGATCCACTAATGTTAATCACTAACTGATGCAGTCAGCCCTACAAGCCCGTTTTAGGAATATCTTCAAGTGTAAAATTTATCTACAGCATCGGATGCTACAGAACGATCTATACGCTACAGCTATTGTGCAAGAATGAAGTACGATGCTCGCTAACGACTTCAAAGAACGAGCCCATCAGTTTTGGAGTCGAACCTTTGCGATTTTAATGGGCTCAAATACAGATCGCCGATTCGTCTTGCTTGTCGAGAGCCTATAATTGAGAGACCGAAAAATAAAACGACAAACTGAGCCTTGGGATCGGCAGCTACGGAGCCCAGTATGAGTAGAGCAACATGAAACAACAACACGCCGAGGGTGGTGAATGCTTAACCACATGCCATCAGCTTCAAAAATTCGGTACGGTCTAAATATTCAGCTTCGATGTAGGACTTTACTCGGCATACGGCCGTTGATGAAACAGAATTGTCTATCGCTACATGAGCACCCGGCGAACATGTGTGAGACGCTGAAGAATTCTCCTGTTCAGCAGCGACTCCGTTTACGATTCTCCAAAATATTAAGAACACCGAATACTATGTCACATGGGAACAAATCTCTCACTGTATATATATATCTACATATATATATATATGTATCTATATACACATATATATAGAGAGAGAGAGAGGGAGAGGGAGAGAGAGGTGAAATACCACTGGTGGACCACAGGCAGAAATGCGCGGCGTTGAAGAAACTACCAATTGTCTTACAAACAACAAGCAACTGCACCAACAGGAGAGATGCAAATTTTGCCACTTTACGAGTTGTGACTTGGGTTCCTAGAGGAGCATGGAGCTCCAGTTGCATGCCGCCATTTCACTCTGTTCTCCGCATTCTTTTGAACTTGGCTCCACCACTGCCCGCAAGCTTTCATTTCTTCCTCATACGATCTAGCCCATGTCGCCCTCGTCACGGACACCCAACTCGTCCTTTCCCATTTGGGTTCCACTCAAAGGCTTGTGTTGGCGCGTGATACCCCCAAACTGTCCTCTCAGTGTATGTCCAATCCAATCCATCTTCTGCATATTTGCTGGTCGATAGGTTCTCGGTTGACTCGTTGCCAGCCACCCAGAGTTCCTTGTTGGTTATTCATATTATCCTGGCCATCTGTGCGACAAGATATTAGACATAAATTATCATTGAAGAAATCCAAATCTCCTAGGGTCTTCTCATCGGTCCAGCCAGCATACGCCCCTCTTCACGTTCCTCACAGTTTGTTGTATTATCCAGTACAGTCCAGTCCAGTCCAGTAAAGTCTAGTCCAGTCGACCACAATCAGGAAGATCACCAGTGATAGTAGGCGGCAGCCTTGTCTTACTCCTGTCTTCACTTCAAAGGTGTCACTGAGCTTTCCGATTGTGAATCACGTGGCATGTGGCTTCTTCATATACCTGTTGATTGAGGTTGATGAAACTTAGTGGCATTCCGCAGTGTTGAAGCAACTGCCTGCCGAATTACTTCTCTGTCGACTCTGTCGAAAGCCTTTTCAAAGTCGATGAAGTTGAGGCAGGGAGTCGACTTCTAATCCATACTCTGTTCTGCGATGGTGCGTAGCGTAGCTTTGCAATTTCATCTGCACATGATTTGTTCTTGCTGAATCCATCCAGCCAGCCTGTTCCGGTTGTAATTTTGAATCCAGAGCATGTTTCAGTCTCTCCAGTATGATGTGGTTTATTATTTTGCTTGCTTGGTGCGGATATGAGAATGAATCCTCTGCTGTTATTGCAAAGACGTAGGTCTCCCTTCTTTGGGAGTTTGACAAGGCAGCCCTCCTTCGGATCAAACAGCAAGTACCTTTCCCTCCACCCAAACCTTCTGCAGTGGTGGTGTGAGCATGTCCGCTGATGTTGTCTCTGTGTCTGTTTTCAGTGCTTCTGGCGGAATTCCATCTGGTCCTGCTGCTTTATCGAATCTCAGCAGTTTTATGGCATTCAGGACTTCTGCTATTGTCGGAGGGCCCGTGTTCACTGGTAGTTCTGACGTTGCTGGTGATATTTCTGGACGAGTTGCAGGTAGTCATAGCAGCTGTAGACTCAACAGCTTTTTGAAGTGGTCAGCCGATCAGCTCCTTTGTTTCTCCTCCTTCATAACTAGCTTCCCTTCACCATCTTTCATTGGTTTCATCTGTGTTGATCTCTCCCACCCCAGACAGTAAACC